TTTTTTTGTAACCTTGGCCAGATTTGTGCCTTGCCACAATTCTGTCTCTGCGCTCTTCAGGCAGTTCCTTTGACCTCATGATTCTCATTTGCTCTGACATGCACTGTGAGCTGTAAGGTCTTATATAGACAGGTGTGTGGCTTTCCTAATCAAGTCCAATCAGTATAATCAAACACAGCTGGACTCAAATGAAGGTGTAGAACCATCTCAAGGATGATCAGAAGAAATGGACAGCACCTGAGTTAAATATATGAGTGTCACAGCAAAGGGTCTGAATACTTAGGACCATGTGATATTTCAGTTTTTCTTTTTTAATAAATCTGCAAAAATGTCAACAATTCTGTGTTTTTCTGTCAATATGGGGTGCTGTGTGTACATTAATGAGGAAAAAAAATTAACTTAAATGATTTTAGCAAATGGCTGCAATATAACAAAGAGTGAAAAATTTAAGGGGGTCTGAATACTTTCCGTACCCACTGTATATATATATTTACTTTCTTTTACCTTTACCAAATTTACTTATATTTACTTTGTTTTCATGTTTGGCGACTTTTTGTGAAAAATTGAGACTTTTGAGGGTGGTTCTAGTGATTTTCTGAGGGAGGGGTTTGGCAACACTGAGCGGGATCAGTCTCCTGCACAGCGCTGCGCTTCCGCCACGATTTATAAGAGATAAACAGCACAAATCGCTCGATCGATTCAGAAATGACACAGAATTGTGTTATACAGTTGTGTAATATGACAACATTAAAGGTTCTGCCTGAAAACAGCCACGACAAGGTAAAATGCATGTAAACAAACTGCAATGTAAACAAACTTTAATAGCTTATTTCTCTTTAAATGTTTCATTCTAATTAATTTTAATTTAAGTAAAATGTTAATTCAGTAAGAGCCTGATTAAAGATAAAAGCAGTGTCTCTGTAATTTAGAGACACTTATAAATGAGGAGTTTTCCATTTACAAATATTATAAAGTTCTTAAAGGGATAGTTCACCCAAAAATTAAAACTGTCTTCATTTAGGCTACTCAGCATCATGTCATTCCAAACCTATATGAATTTCTTTCCTCTGTGGAACATAAAAGAAGATATTTTGAGAAATTCAAGAAGTGTTTGCCCATACAGTAGAAATCAAGGGTAACCAAAATGGTTTTGTAACATTCTACAAAATATCTTTTGTGTTTTACAGAAGAAAGTAAGTCACACAGGTTTGGAAAGACATGAGGGTGAGGAAAGGATGACAGCATTTATTAGCAGTAAATGTCCTATGTTCTAGCACAAAATCAATGCTTATACTGTCAAGTGCATTTCTATGTGACAAAAATGCAGTAGGCTATTCGTTTGTTGCATTTGCTGTGAATTCAGTAATATATCCTTAACCCCGACAGTAAACTGATGCCTCGTTCTATTTATGACGTAGGCCTACTGTTTGACAAAATACAAATGATTTGCAATGGTCACTTTGTCGCATCCAGTGTGGACAGCCTCAAGCTGTTGGCTTACCTGTGGCCTTTTTTTCATTATTTATTGGTTACATTTTTTTTGACTAGTAGAAATTATGAATGGCCGGTAACTTAAAAATTTAGTAGCCAAATTGGCTGGTGAGTGAAAAAGTTCATTTCAAACCCTGGTTATCAACTCCTTCACACCAAATAAACTCAACTTAAAATGCAAAATAAATAAATAAAGCCAAGTATTTAGTTACTTTGAGTGTGATTGCTGTACAAATTGTGATTTGCTACATATATCCAGCAGCTCTCTGCACCTGCATTACTCACTCAATCATTTGTCGGTCCTGTTTTCTCAGAAGTGGACCCTGATTGAACCACAGATCCGTCAGCATGACCTATGTCTGGCCATCACAGCTTTCACTGCAGGGTCAAAGGTCAGACTGGAGCCCTGCAACATCAAAGAGTCCAGACAGGTGGGTGTATGTGTAATCTGATGACCTACTTGATGTCTGCTGCTTTCAAAAGACTATTAAGCTCTATTCTGAGTTTTTTGGAAGTTATGTAAATTGAAGTGTTTCATAAAGTGATATTCTGTTGCCATTTCAGGTCGAATGTTAAGTGTTGTCGATCTGAAACGCAGCAGACAGGCTTACAGGCACAAACACATATCTTCACATAAGCCCACTGCATATGGTTCCACTCACAATCTTAGTTGGCTTAGCTGGACCGGCTTTTATCTTTTTTCCTTTCCATTTTTCATCAGTCTGACCTCCGCTCCTGTCAACTCATTCATGCTCGGCTCATTTGTGATTATCTCCTGAAGTCAGAACATCCCTCACAATCAGATCCGATTCCATACATATATACGTATATACTGTATATATATATATATATATATATATATACAGTATCTCACAGAAGTGAGTACACCCCTCACATTTTTGTAAATATTTTATTATATCTTTTCATGTGACAACACTGAAGAAATTACACTTTGCTACAATGTAAAGTAGTGAGTGTACAGCTTGTATAGCAGTGTAAATTTGCTGTCCCCTAAAAATAACTCAACACACAGCCATTAATGTCTAAGTTTGGGGTCGTTATCATGTTGGAATACTGCCCTGCGGCCCAGTCTCCGAAGGGAGGGGATCATGCTCTGCTTCAGTATGTCACAGTACATGTTGACATTCATGGTTCCCTCAATGACATGTTGACTGTAGGCAAGACACATGTGTCTTTGTACTCCTCACCTGGTTGCTGCCACACACGCTTGACACCATCTGTCCCAAACACAACCTCTGGATATGATGCTGAGCACGTGCACTCAACTTCTTTGGTCGATCATGGCGAGGCCTGTTCTGAGTGGAACCTGTCCTGTTAAACCGCTGTATGGTCTTGGCCACTGTGCTGCAGCTCAGTTTCAGGGTCTTGGCAGTCTTCTTATAGCCTATGCTATCTTTATGTAGAGCAACAATTCTTTTTTTCAGATCCTCAGAGAGTTCTTTGCCATGAGGTGCCATGTTGAACTTCCAGTGACCAGTATGAGAGAGTGAGAGCAATAACACCAAATTTAACACACCTGCTCCCCATTCACACCTGAGACCTTGTAACACTAATGAGTCACATGACACCGGGGCGAGAAAATGGCTAATTGGGCCCAATTTGGACATTTTCACTTAGGGGTGTACTCACTTTTGTGGCCAGCGGTTTAGACATTAATGGCTGTGTGTTGAGTTATTTTTAGGGGACAGCAAATTTACAGTGTTATACAAGCTGTACACTCACTACTTTACATTGTAGCAAAGTGTCATTTCTTCAGTGTTGTCACATGAAAAGATATAATAAAATATTTACAAAAATGTGAGGGGTGTACTCACTTCTGTGAGATACTGTATATATACATATATATATTTATAGCAAACACACACACATTATTACAGTATATATCAAGCCTTCTGAATTCAGACTCACTGACCTCACTCTGAGACATGCCCTTGGCTACAACATTCTGCTGCTTTCATTTCTTTGTAAGGCTGCTTTGCAGCGTTGTTAGACAGATGTGTTTCATGTTGTTTCTTCTTCATGTTTCTTTAAATTTTACAGTCATTCTATTTTTTGCAGCATTTGTCAATGTTCGGAATAAACGTATTCTTCCATTCTTATTCCTGTTTTGTGTAAAAATGTTCTAAGAGTGAAGGAGATAGTTGTTGATTGTAACAGGTGATAAATGTAGTTATGCAAGTTACTCCATGCATATAGAAAATCCACATATGACACAAAGCAGATGTATTAAATACTTCAATTGTAAGACATTATAAGGAATTCTTCCATTCTTGGGCTACAAATAGTTTTGTAAATATTATGTGTATGGATTTTCACAAACAATTTTCACCCGTTTTTTCTTTGTGAATTTGTGAAAAAAAGATTTATCAATACGCATGATCAACATCTGGTCTCACACTAGCTCTAGCTACTATCATTGATACACTATTCTAGTTTTTGTTAATATTTTGAATTTATTTTAATATTTTGTTTTCGCTTTAATTTTAGTTGAAGTTTTAGTAATTTTGTTGTGTTTTTGTTATTTTTATTAGTTTGTGTTTTTCTTTAAAAATGTGTATGCAGTATTATTCATTTTTATTTTGTTAGTTTTAGTTTATATAGTTTGCTAATTTAGTACTTCAGTCTACACTAAATGAAAATGAGGCATGCTTCGGCAGCTATTTGAAATAAAATAAGTCTGAGTTTTTTTATTTTTTTTTTATTGTTTATTTGTATTGTTTAAGTAAGGGAATTGTTTTGTTTGTTTTGGTTAATGATAAAAACCCTAATTGAAAATACCAAATTCACTCTATGAACTCATTTTTAGTTTGACCTTTAGATGACTTCAGTTTTCTTTCACTCTGATAATTTCATGAACAAGAAGAAGAGCGATTCTTATGCACTATTCTGTGCTTTATTTGTGGGATGTATGTCTACAGCATATGAATGTTACTGCTTATTATCTTTTTTTCTCCGTCCCTCTGTAGAAATGGAAGGCCAGAGGTCCAGCGCTGCAGCACATGATCAGCGGCTTGTGTCTGGATAGCCAGCCTCCTTCAGGCCCGCCACTCGCCGCACAGTGCCGCCCCCAGGTGGCCAGCCAATCCTGGGAGCCGCAGCTGGTCACCTGACTCTGAGAGCTGATGGGGAAGGCGGGGAAAGGGGAGGAGTTTAGTCAGGTCGCTGAGCTCCAGGTGCTGTAGGAGCCAGAGGAAAACATTTGCACACTGTTTTAGTTGAAGGTGCTGCTCTCAAACCAATCGGACATGTCCAAAACATCTGACCTCATTTCTTTAGCATGGAATAGCTGGAGAGGGAGAAGCAACATTTCGCCTGCCGAATCGAAACACCTTTTCGGCCATGTCCATGAAGTTCACACGGCATGGTTTTGTCAGTTGACAGGAGTGCTTTGGGATGTCTTGGGTTATCTATCTGAATGTTGTGTAAAGGACTCGAGAAAAAACCGATGTGTATATAAATGCCTTTATCTAGCTTTCAGACCCATAACCTGTATATACCCTCATTCCCACTGAGACTGTGGTGTTTGCAGCATAGGCTTCAGTAGCTGTTCTCGCGAAGGTCTGAGTTGTTTTACTTCTATCACTGTGGAAGGTTTACGGTTGATTTGTTCAGTATTAAATTGGGATGAAGTGCAGTGCCTTGAGATGAATCTGCATATACAGTGCAAGCGGTCGGCTTTAAAGGGGTCATAGGATGCTGCATGCACTTTTACAAGTTGTTTGAACTGAAATGTGTCAGTGTGTGTACACAACCACCCTATAATGATAAAAATCCACCCAGTGCTTTTTTTTTTTAATCGCGCCGCTCTCAGATGCCTGTCTGTGTGACATCACAAAAACAGGCCCCTCCCATGATAGTTTGATTGACAGTAGTGTTTCAGCACAGACTGGACTGGTGTCTTACCTTAGCTCCGCCCTGAGTGACTGTCATCAGTCCTCCATTGTTTCACCGCCGGAGCAGATGTAGACAAGAATGGCTCCTAAGCGATTGAGGTGTTCTGTTGTTGGATGTAATAATGAACATAGCAGTCGTCATTTACTCCCGACATCTGAGCCGCTGAAGACGCAGTGGATTACATTTGTTTCTGAAGGGAATGCGCCCCCGATCTACATAAATGCGTCTATGTTCGCGCGAATCATTCATGATCCAGCTTCACCTACAGAAGAAGTGAGTATAATGTTTTGTAATGAATCTTTGCAAATCGCCTTTCCTAATAATGTGCTAATTAGCGATGAATGCGGCTAAAGTACTGTTTCTAAAGTAAACAGTCTCTCTGAAAGCAGCTCGGAAGAGAGGGGCGGGGTCAGCAGAGCTCATTAACATTTAAAGGAAAATGCTACAAAAACGGCTTGGGCTGAAAAGAGCTGTTTTTGACAGGGTAAAAAAGGTGTTTTTTACACTACCATTGAGACATTTTAACCAAACTATGTTACAGACTTTTCATTAAGACCCTAAAGAATAATATCAACTTGTGGAAAATGGTTATCCTATGACCCCTTTAAAGCGACAGTCAAAGATTAGCAGTAGCATGCTGGCTTACTTGAAGATGATGGAGAAAAGCTGTAAGAAGGACAGAAATGACTGCAGAAAGATCCACTGAACCCACGGCTAGCATCACAAAAAAATAACCTAATGTTTGATCAAAAAAGCATTGAGATGTCACATTAAATGAGGTGCAAAGTGCTTTCAATGAGCTATTATTATTCTGCATGGCACTGTACATCAGCACAATGAAACGGCATCTGCGAACATGTCAAGCCCAAAGACTGTTTTATTTGTTTGCCTTTTGAAACTTTGTATTTACTTGAAGCAAAACCATTTTTCATTTTGAACATGTGCTAGAAAGCAGTTATGTTGTTTGAAAAATAAAGACTCAGACCAAAAAATTTAAAAAACCAATCCAAAATATGTTGAGTTTGTCTTTGTACGCTACAGTACAACAGTCACAAAGAATCCTTTCACTGTAATCGCAGACTGAAAACAGAATGCAGTGATGCAGAGATAGATGCTTAAAACATTTGTAAAATACAATACAATGTATGAATGAAATGTGACAGATGTAGTTGTTTTTTGGAAGAACAGCACATAAGTACATGGATGCATACGGTACTGTCCTGAAGTATATGAGTATATGAGTAATTCTGTATGATTTATAAGCTTTTGTACCCGTGGGGACCACAATTTAGGTCCCCACCGTGACAGGAGTCCCCATGAGTCTGTGTGTAGTCCGGTTTAAGTCCCCACCAGGATATATAAACCAGTACACACACACACACACACACACACACACAATGACTCAACTGATGCCTATGTCATATATTCCAGTCAGTAAACAGTGTCCCTCCCTACAGTTCTTCCAGTCTGTCAACATCGGATGTTGATGGTTTGGTGTTTTAAGGTCAACACCAGGGCATTGTGACCGATCGATCAAATGTGCCTCACCAGCCGCTCACTGATACATATTTAGATGTATGTGCACACATGCAGGACTGATGTCACAAACAAATTAGCACTGTGTTCTTTACACCTTCTCTTTTTATAAACGACTGAAGGCAGTGAATGAGCTCAGTCACCTAATGAGGGCAGCGGGTGAGAGACAGGTGAGCTAAACGGGTCTTGTCTTCACAGCACAACAGGCTCGACAGCTTTGTAGAGTTGTGTGAGCATTGCATGCATTCCTGTGAAGAACCCTCGTGTTATACTGCCACATCTTTGTTTTAAAAGAGCTGTGCGTAATCCTTGCAATGACTTTTGTGTGTTACTGATTCAAACCTTCACTTGATCGGTTTTACTGGTCTTCTTGGAAGTCGAGTTGATTAGCTGTTGCACAGCCACAGGGATGCACAATATGTGTGTGACTGTAGAAGTATCTGCAAATCTTTGCATTTTTATTATCTGGCTGATATTGGAAGCAGATGACAAACGGACTCATCTTCAGAAACTATATACATTTTCGCAGGACTGATGTCACAAACAAATTAGCACTGTGTTCTTTACACCTTCTCTTTTTATAAACGACTGAAGGCAGTGAATGAGCTCAGTCACCTAATGAGGGCAGCGGGTGAGAGACAGGTGAGCTAAACGGGTCTTGTCTTCACAGCACAACAGGCTCGACAGCTTTGTAGAGTTGTGTGAGCATTGCATGCATTCCTGTGAAGAACCCTCGTGTTATACTGCCACATCTTTGTTTTAAAAGAGCTGTGCGTAATCCTTGCAATGACTTTTGTGTGTTACTGATTCAAACCTTCACTTGATCGGTTTTACTGGTCTTCTTGGAAGTCGAGTTGACTTGCTGTTGCACAGCCACAGGGATGCACAATATGTGTGTGACTGTAGAAGTATCTGCAACTCTTTGCATTTTTATTATCTGGCTGATATTGGAAGCAGATGACAAACGGACTCATCTTCAGAAACTATATACATTTTTTATGCCAGCATACCGAGGTGTTAAACTATTATCCATCGGAACTCCTGCATATTCTAATGTTTTGATGCTTGATTTTGAAACATGATATTCTGGATTGGAGCTTTGCTGTGAACACTCCTGAAAAAAGAGATTGATCGATGTCATCCAGCCTGTTAGTTATTGGCCATCACAAATTATCGTTAAAATACAATAAATGTTTTAAAACAAGCAAAACATTTGAAATTGAAAGAAGGCATAGCTGTAAAAAAATAAGTCAAGTAACTCAATAACTTATTTTTAATATAGTAATATAAGCAACAAATTGTTTATACATTTTTTACTTTAAATTAAAATGTTAAAAAATACATCAAATCAAGATTTACCTGAAAAATCATATATTTTCCCTCTATAGCTATTTATTTATTTTTATATTTAATTTATTTAATTTGTCCTTGTTTTACATTCACAATCTCTCTAAGTTGCAGCCCTACAGCACTATAATATATATGTATGTATGTGTATATATACATTATACGCTTCCAGCAAACGCACACACACACACACACAC